CTTTTTTTTGTCTTATTAGTCACATATTGCCGAAAATGTGTGTTATGACTGAGATTTGTGTTTCTACGTGAATAAAGATATTAATTTTATTTTATTTTATATTTATTTTTAATCTCAACGATAAATTTGTTATTCGGAAAAGCTTTGTCAAACAACGGCAAAAATACTTAAGCTTTGTTTGGCGATCAGCGGATAGCAGATAGCGGAGATTGTATCAGCGGATAGCGAATAACAAATTATATTAGCTGATTTGACCAGCGGATTGCATTAGCGGTTTTTAAATTGTGTTTGATAAATAGCTGAAAACTTATAGCTGTTTGACATTACAAAATGACCAATAAGGACATTTTATTATTTAGGGTGTATTCTTTTAATAATAATATATTAAAACATTTAATATTCTTTAGTTGGTAATTTATAAATATATATATTTTTTTTAAATTTACTAACACTTGATGAAGAAATTATGAATTTTACATTTTTCTAGATAAATTAGTCATATGGATGACATATTATTATTTATTAGCTCTATAAACCAATGTAGATTGTAAAATAAATAAGACAAATTAAAAAGTTCTAAGTAAAACCTCTCAATTGTGAATCCTCTATCCCAAAAAGCTGCTCTAATTAGCTTTTTTTTTTGTACAATTTAATTCATGTATTCTCCTCCAAAAGTCATGAATAGAACAAGTATTTAACCCATATTTCCAGAACAAATCTATTTGTGCAGATTGAACAAAGTACACAATTTAGTGTGCAGTTCACCCCTGTTGTTGATATTTTTGAGCATCAACATAGCCTACCTATTATAACTCTTTCATTTGTTTTTTTTTCCCGAAACGATAAAAATTTTATATATTAAAAGCATAAATGTGCAAAAGTACAACTCGTGCATACGTCTTAAATAAATACATTGTTCATTTGTTTATACGTCTTAAAATATAATATTTTTCAAATAAATACAACTTGTACATCGCACGGGTCACGTATCTTAAAAACTCAAAGCCTCAAATAAGTCAACTTGACAGATAGATCTTGAGAGAGAAAAAAAAAAATCGCATTCATTATTAAAATAAACTAACGTCGCAAATGTAACAATAAAGTATTACAAGCACTGCCGTTGTTAGAACTTTTATACGCGACTATAATAATTAAGTTCTAATGCTTATTTGGTCAAACTAGTACAGAGCCCGTGCGATGCACGGGGTGCACAATTTTAAGGCTATTTATCCAGGCTTATAATTATATACATGAATAAAGAAAAATGTACGAGATATATATAGTACGTAACCCGTGCGAAGCACGGGATATATTTATTTGGAGAATAATATATTATAAGATGCAATATTCAATAAAAGTTCATAATACGCAAGAAAATTGTACAATGTTCAATAAAAGTTTTATAATATTCAAGTGGAGTCTTAAAGTCTCTTGTACATTAAAACTACTGACAAAATAGTTTTCCTTTCCTTGTAGTCAAATTGTGAATGTGATTTGAGGAGTACAACAAATCGATATATAGCTGACTTGCTTTTTTCATTGTAGTTTTTTTTCTTTTTTTTTTTATAATGAATTTAAAGATATTCTAAAATATAGCAAAAATTAATTTTTTTACTACAATTAGGAATTTTACTAAATATAGACTCTCAATCTATGGTGTTAATCACGTTTAAGTCTAAAAAATTAGGAATTTTATCTCTTTTAATCAACGTTTAAGTCTAAAAAACAATAGAGTTATTATAAGTTTTTTTCTACATCTTTTAAAACATTAAATATGAGCATGTTAGGGCTAGCTTGTAAAATAATTAATATATTATCTTACTAAAACATTTATACTAATAAAAATTTAATTTTAGCATATAAATTTATCCCTTGATATAAGAGAAAGTAACAGTTTTACTTATTATTGTTCACCATATAATATTTAACTAGTACGTAGCCCGTGCGATGCACGGGACATAAATATTAAATGAGTCATTTCCACAGAGCTTGTCTGTTAAGTAGCTCGTGTGATTCACGGGAGATATTAAATGAGTGGACAATAGGGCTTGTCAGTTCAGGCCTAAAAAACAATAGAGTTTGATCATCTATCTTTTTACCTCTTTCATCAACGTCATCTTTTTTGTCGAGACATTAAACCTGAGCCTGATAGTGGCAGTGCTAGACCGTAAATTAATTAATATATTATCTCGCTCACATGTTTATAATAATATAAATTTGATTTCATTATATATATTTATTCATTGATATAAGAAAAATAACAATTTTACGTAATCTTGTTCCTCGTATAAAACTCATATTATTTTATTATAAAATTTATTGTAATAGCATGTTGACCCATTTATATTATTATAAATAATATTTTAACATATATATCTATTTTTTAATACAAAATAATAATAATTTTACATATTTTGGTTCATCAAAATACTCAATTATTAATCTATCAAAAAATCTATTATCATATAATGTCATTATTCTTTATAACACTTGTAGAAGTAATATATTTGTTATATAATGATAAATATGTAATGTATATTAATATTATTTAGTGATGTAATTAATTTAAAAAATTTAAGCAAATTTAATGTTTGGTAGGAATGTGATTATATGTAAGTTGAGATAAAATGAAATGTATCAAAAAAATCTGCTTATGATATTTTCTTTTAAATGTTTGAATGAATTTGAAATTCAAATTACAAATCAACCTCCAGTTATTCAAATAATTTTAAAAAAGTTACCAGTTGTAGTAAAATGCACGTGACAATATATTATAAATATACATGACGTCAGTAATGTTATGAATCATTAAGTTCCTAAAATATATATTGTTTGGATATGAAACTAATTCACTTATATGTTAAGATAATATATATAAATATATGTATTGTACGAAATATACACATGACAAGTTATTATATTTATTTATATATTGTTTGTATATTTGTTTGTATTGTTTATTATATTTGTTTATCATATTTGTATATAAATATATTGTTTATATATTTGTCTGTATTGTGTTTGTAGTATTTTTGGGCATGTGGTAACCGAGCTACCCGACTCGGGTCGTTCTCAAAGGAAGGCTGTTCGGAGCTTCGTTCACTACCAAGTCGTCAAAGTCACATAACCGAAAATAGGGTCCTAAACATTCTACTCGCTTGAAGGGATTGGATTTTGTAATGTCCCATTTATTTGTGGATTATTTGAGAATATTATTATTATTATTATTATTATTATTATTATTATTATTATTATTATTATTATTTTTGTGATAATATTTATATTTATTTTCTCTTGAATGCCATAATATTATTAAATCCCTAAATGTGATTAAATGTTAATTGTCTAATTGTCTAATTGATTTTCGTGATTAATTATTAAATGAGGAAAATGTGTATTAATATATGTGAAATATATTTATAGTTCGATTTATTTTTATCGTGCGATCGATTGGAACTGTCGAAATTAGTGATTGGAGAACCCGAGCCCGAGAGTTAGATTTATTTTCGTGCGTTTGAATTCGTTATCGGGCCCGAAAGCCGAATATATTAGCGTACGATTTTATCGAGCCCGAGAATGTTCGCGTGAATCGTAATCGAACCCGAAGATTTTTGTTGGAACTAAATTTGGGCCCGAGAATGTCCGTTTGGAACGAAATCGAGCCCGAGTATTCCTGTGTGTTCAAATCGACCCGTGAGCAAAGTCAACACATTATTATATAGATACAATAGTTGTATCTCTCTCTCCATCACGTTAAAATTTCAACAATTCTTTTTGATCTATCTTCTCACATGTCCAGATGCATTTTTCCGATCGTGATCTGGCTCTTATCACATGTTGTCTTCTTATTAAATGTGATTTCACCAATTTGATTCCATCATCCTCATCCTCACTCAGCATCATTTTTATATCTCATCTTTCCCCCACGCTCTCTCATTTTTCCGATCACTATCCTCCTCGCCATCTCCTCAGCGTCATCATCATCACTGCGAGTCGCCGTCTTATCCCTCGTCGAGACACCACCAGACGCGAGCTCCATCGCCTGCTTCTCCTCGCGTCGCCGCAAGCAGCCCCACTTCCGGCGAGTCACCTCCGGCGACAGCATCTCTTGCAGCTTTCCGGCGACCTTGTTTCTTGGGTTTTTCCGGCGAGTTTGATCGACCCACGAGCAGCCCACGAGCCAGACGACGATGACCTCTCTCTCTCGTGATCTTCCGACGACCTCCTCGCTGCCACGCCGTGACGCCTCCCAGCAACTCCCGTCACGCCGCGCCCAACCTGTCACGCCGCGACCAGAGCCCCATCACGCCGTGAAGACCGCTGCCACGACCTGCAGGCCCATTTCAGCGCCTCCTCGAGCTCTGCAATTTCCGGTGAGCTTGATAATCCTCCGAGCAGCGACATCCAGTGACTTCCCGACGAGCCCGTGAACCAGCGAACGGCGACCCCGACGTCCGGTGACCTTGCTGCGACAACCGACGAGTTAGCAGCAGCGACGCCTTCTCCTTTCCTCAGCGACGAGCTCTCCTCCTTCCGGCGAGACGCGAGAATCCGTCGAGCCCCGTTCGTGTTCGTCCGTTTTCGTTTGATTCTCGAGAACGGTATAAAGGCTCGATCTCGTCTCGTTTATATCGTTTATGTTATTCATGAATATGTGTGATTTGCGTGACGTAAATAATGTGCGTTAAAT